GAGACATGCATCTGGCTGTTGTCAGGTTATGAAAACACTGGAGGAACCTGAAAACACTGGAGGAACCGGAAAACAACGATGGAACCGGAAAACATTGGAAGAACCGGAAAACTTCAATGAACCCCAAAAACACTGAAGGAACCCCGAAAACACTGGTGGAACACCCTGAACACATTAAAGGAATCAGAAAAACATCAGAGGAACCTTAAGACATTAAAGGAACCCGAAAGGATCGCAGGAACGCGAAAGCATCAGAGTTACCCAAAAACATCGGAGGAACCCGAAAACACTGGAGGAACACCCTGAACACATTAAAGGAATCAGGAAAACATCAGAGGAACCTGAACACATTAAAGGAACCAGGAAAACATCGGAGGAACCTTAAGACATTAAAGGAACCCGAAAGGATCGCAGGAACGCGAAAGCATCGGAGGAACCCAAAAACATCGGAGGAACCCGAAAACACTGGAACAACACGAAAACATTGGAGGAACCGGGAAACATTGGTGGAACCGTAAAACTTTAATGAACCCCGAAAACACTGGAGGAACCTGAAAACATCGAAGGAACTCGAAATCATCGAAGGAACCCAAAAGCACCGGAGGACCCCGAAAGCCCTTGAGGACCCCGAAAACATCGGAGAAACACGAAAACATTGAAGGAACCCGAAAACATTGATGGAGCCTCAAAACACTGATAGAACCTGAAAACATTGATGGAACCTGGAAACACAGTAGGAACCTGAAAACACAGTAAAAACCTTCACTATTGCTCAACTTTGTGCTCCTCTGCTAACCCCATCCAGGAATGCCTTATATGCTGGAGCCTTTAGGAGTTATGGACTCATTTGAGAGCCTCTCCTTTGTTTTCCATAATTGCTGCCATTTCATGTGCCTGCCTGAAGAGAAGCTGAGCTTTCATTAAATCCATGGCCCTACCACAGGCCTTCATTTCCCCTCTCATTAAGCCCCCCTCCCAGTGGCAGCCCCTGGGTTTCATTAGATCAGATGCGAAGCTCCAACGCTCTTTCACCGCACCAGTTGCACCTTATTAAAGCCGAGGGTTCCATAAAGGGCTCATTTCATTGACTAATGGAGGTTAATATCAGTGGCTAACACCACAGACAGTATTTATCAGGAGGCATTGAAAGGACCTTAAACTGGACCCTAGCCTGACACCTGGAACCAGTTCCAGCTGTTTCAACTCCTGCTTATCCTGCAGTATGTAAGGGCAGCCCAGGGATCCATGTAATGTCTGTCTCATCAGTGGGGTGTTTAATCCCCCCCATCAGTCTCAGCCACTGTGTCCATGCGTGGATGGCTTTACTGTAGGAGTGAAGACAGGCTTTGCTGTTTAGCTCGGGTCAGCACTTACCTGTCCTCCGTTGGCGTCTGCTGTCTCCAGCGAGGAACTGAATGCAATCAGAGCTAATGAGCAAAGCTAGCCCCCTGCTCCCATAATAGCCGTCTTTTTTAGGCAAACCTTCTTAGTTCAGCCAATTTACAGCTGTTAATCTGTGAGCACAGCGCCACTAGATGTGAGCGTGAGGAAATGATCTTTACAGCCTCTGCCATGTGTGTTCACTTAGTGATCACGGGGCAGGTCACACTTCAATATTTACAGGGCCGTGCGGTTCCAGCCGGGTGTAAATGGGGGTAATCACGGGTAACGGGTCGGATCTTGGTTCTGAACTGGACGGGTGCAGAGGGATACAGTTTAGAAAAATTACATCCAAGCAGGACTCTGGCATAGGCTTTCCATTCCTGGCATCAGGCACAGATGAGGGATAAAGGATTTAAATACATTTATTCCATCAGAAAATACATTATTAATCTTTAAAGGAAAAGTCCGGTCAGCAAGGAATAATCAATGAATCATTATTTATACCTAAAACTAATCCTTTTGCTGTGATCTAATAAATTTAGCGTTAATCGGTTAAAAAAAAAATAAAAGCAATAATTTGCGACAT